TTTAATATTAGATGAAAATAATGAAAATTCATATTTTCAATAATTATACAAATATATATAGTTAGAACGAATTAATTTATTATACTTTATTCACTTCATTCCGTAATTTATATTGTTTTTTTTTAATGAAATTTTATAGATGATAACCTTTACAAATTAAAATTTAATGATATAAAAATGTTAATGAGTTAATGTTATCGATTGCCATAGGCGCAATGAGATTCCAAACGAAGTTTAAAAGAATTTTTCTTCGATCATTAATTCCGACTAAATAATAATCTAGAATCGGCTTAACGCATCATCGTCCAAGTATTCGTTGATCGAAGAAAACAAGACGAGGGTGATGCGACATGGTCGAGTTATGGGACTTAGGAAAAGCAAGTGGGGCTGTGTATTGTGTCTCCCGTCATCCTCAGTCGAGGCTTTTCTTACCCCAAATGCTAATTATATGTCAAGCATTCACACGACGTATCACGAAAGGCCGATTGTCGGAGATGGAACAATGGTGAGGGCAAGGCTAATAGGGCCGATCAAGAAACGAGGACAATGTCGGCCATCCTAAACGTCTCTTTTGGATTGACTGTGATCGATGTTTACTTATATTTTGAGAAATCGACTGTGAAAGATAAAAAAAGGAAAATGAAAAATAGTCAAATTAATTAAGAAAAAGAAAGAACAAAAAAAAATACTTTACTTAGTTATTTTACGAATGTCAACGTTTAGATTTCTAAAGTTGTTGACTGGAAAAAAACTTTTGAAATTTCACGCGTAATTTAAAATAATACATATATCTACTTATATTTATTATAATTACCTACTTACAAATTTCAAATTTTAAAATCTCGGAAAGACCGATCGTAGACGGCACGAAAAAGTTAAACAACCTACGAAGGTACTATTCTCTGGTGTGCCTTATTTTCCTTATCGCCACTTAAGGCAGAAGAGCGATAGGCGTCCGAACGCATGCCGAGGTACACACGTAAGAGGAAACCGTGATTGATGCATTCTACACACGCAAATCCTTTAACCAACTATCCCTCCTCCTCGAAATTTCAACTACCCTCTCCTTTCGAAATTTCAAAAAGGTAATAGGTACTTCTGTTTGTCATATCTATGTCGAATTATTCGTCATTAGTAATTTTAAAATGTAGTTGTATTTTCCACATAGCGTACGTAAACTTTCCGACATCTAATTAAATTTGTTTAAAAACAAATCGAAGTTTTTCTTTAAACATTCAAAACATAAAAATTCGATTCCTTAGCATCGTTAGAATCGTACAATCGATTATTATCCAAACGAATTTGTTCTAACTCATTACTAGTAAGGATATCGATAAGGTTTCGTTTACGGTCTAGACTTTCTATTTTCTCTCTTTCTCTTTCTCTCTCTTTCTCTCTCTCCCTCTCTTTTTCTCTTTCTCTTTCTATCTATCTATCTTTCTCTCAGTCTCTCTCTTTCCGTGGTTTCAATTATCCTCGATTCCGATCGAAAATAAATGGACTAAGAGAATGAAGTGTCTATCGTTGGGCGAGGATAAGGAATGGGGAAAGGTAATTAGCGAGTTGGCAACGCGACGAGTAAATTTACAAAGCCATTTCAAGTTCTTTTGAGCTCCTTCGATTTTCTTTAAGTTCCAAGATATCCGTTCGAATTTTCCTTAATAATCTATTGAAACTGATTTGATTCTTAGCGCGGTGATTTGTAACCAAATCTCGGTAAACTTTGTACATTTAATGCCAATCATAAAATATACGCTAAAATAGACGTTTCGTTCTCGATTTCGTTTAATTTTTTTTATATCGAGATACCTACCTAATATCGTTTTCTATTATCGTATCTTCGTTATATTTCAGATAAATGTTCAGTTCGTTTTAATAATGATTAAGCTGAATTATGAGAATTACATTTCCCATGGATAAATTTTTAAGGATAATTCAGCATAGGGATAGTAATAGATTCAAATTCTTATAAACATTTAAATTTTTCATAAAATATTACAAATCATTATAATTATTTTCAAACGTATTATTAAAAATATAGTAATAGTCCAACTATAAATACACAAATAGTCCAATTAAAAAAGTAAAATAAATACAAAAGAAATACTTAAAAATATTCAGGTTGGGAAACGGATAAAGTCGGTCGCGTGGGTCGCACGATCGAATCGGCTCGAATTAAGAAAACAAAATGGTCCCTGTTCGAGCGTCGGCCATGCTTTCGCTGAGATTGAAATAAATTGGTAGAATTGCTGGGTGGCTGCGTACCGCGAGAACGGGGAGCGATACTGATTACGTTGGCCGCTCGTTAAGCACTGTAACAATGCCAGCCCCCACCATATCTCTTGTAGCTACCACTCCCCCCCTCATTCTCCTGCCAGTCCATTCCTCCACGCGCGTTCGCGCGACCGATACCTACGCTAGCCAATCGTCTATCGTTTTACCCCACTACTACCAACCTTGTGCGGCTTTACCCTATGCTTTTTACTCTTCTCTCTCTCTCTTTCTCTCTCTCTCTCTCTCTTTTTCTCTCTCTCTCTCTCTTTCTCTCTCTCTCTCTCTCTTACGAAAAGAAGAGGACAACGACCACAGACGGAAACCGAATAACTATACCTATAGAGGATAGCTTACGGCCAGACGAATATGCTAAAAGTTTATACTGAAATTTTATTGAACCAGTGAAAAAGATAATATACACATGTCTGTTGATTTTAATAACAACGAGTAGATTTTCAGAGAAGGAACATATAGTGTTCCAATGAATAAATATCCAAACGCAAAGACAGAAAACTATTACAATGTATGTACGGAAGCGTGTACATTTACGAAAGAAAAAAAGTGAAAAAAAAGAGATCGATTAAAAGACATAAAAAGGAGACATTAAAAATAGATAGAATAGAATTATAATAAAAATAATATAGAAAAGATGCACGTTTATAAATCTAATTTGTCTACGAAGTAGGAATATTTTTACTAACTGTTGAGAAATATCGAATCAAGAAAATATTCTCGAGAAATTTTTCTCGATAATGAAGGAAGGGCAAGAAAAAAAGACATGTGTTGAACTTTTATTCGTTGTAAAAAAGGGGTTGGAGTGTGGAATAATTGTGGCCTTTGTCGATATTAAATTTTGGACAGTGGTGGTTTGCCGTTCCATGGCGGCCAACGCTATGTTCTCTCTCTTTCTTTTTTTCTCTCTTTCTATCTCACTCTCTTTCTTTCTCTCTCTCTCCCTCTTTTTAGCTATAGGTCATAGGGGCGTTTCGGGGGTGCGAGGTAACCGTTTTCCCTCCTCAAATCTCTCTTCTCTCTCACAACGGCCTCGCTTTTCCACTTATCGACCCCCACGGTTATTAGGGCTGCCTTTGCCTCCAGGGACAATCGAAGGTAGGTACCCGACAAATGGGCGGGGCTTGACGGAGGGTCATACCCGTCGCATTCCACCCTGACACCAGTTTCCTACTTTCTCGAAAGTCGCACCAAAGCGAAGATGGCGAGATTTCAAACGTTTCAAAATTAATTAGGGCTTTGCTACTTTATCGTATTAGATATCTTTGTCTAACATTTCATCGAAAATCAAAAGCGATGTTAAAGAATATTAATCAATTTGTCTCCGTTCTAACAATTTGATCTTACAATCGTAAAGTCATTTGATCGATTAAATCATTCATACATATCCTATATGTACTTATTTTCTATCATTTTCATTGTTTAATTTTATGTCGTAGTACGACAAAAGCTCAATGAAAAAGGAACGAGGGAATTAATAGTCGGACGAATATCTCTCCAGTATACATCCACCATGCTCTGATTACTCGACAACCCTTGCTCTCGTATATCATAAATTTCGTATTGAAGATTCAACAGTCGTCATAGTGATGCGGAGTAGCGACTATTTCATGGAAACCAACGGCAAGAACCCGAACCAATTCTAGCCGTCATTCCAAGTCCAAAAGTAACTCGTCATCCGAGGGAGCAAACATTTCTACTTTTCGATGTGCAAACCTTGCTCCCGGAAAGCTTGCTCTTCAACTGTGCTGACCATTTCGCATCTCATTCAACCTTGCTATTCATCCCCCACCTTTTATCCCCTCTAACGATTCACATACTTAATGGCTCGTTTAGCTGTGCATTTATACAGCTTCATATACTGTATTCTACGAATAAATAGTTTAACTGTAATTTTTTGCAAATAAAAAAAGAAAGAAAAGAGTAAGAAGGAGTATAATAAAAATGAATCGTAACAATCACGATCATCTCGAGAAAATATAAATGACGAAAAGGAATTCATAGAAAGGAGATGAGAAGGAGTAGCTAGGGGTAATGTCTATCACGAAACACGTAAAGGCAACGTAGAGTGCGAAACAACGTACGCGAGGATTCCTTTGTGACGCGAAGCTGCTCGACGTTTGCCAGCCCCCATCGTTCAATGCGGAGCGTTCTTTTTTTATGTCAACACGAGGGCCAATTGAGTGGATATAATAGCGGTACCACATGTTTCACTCGGATTCGCCGACATGTGGGCTATGCTGGTAATGCATCTGTACGTGTGCGAGAACTCGCGCGCGCATGTGCTTTCACGAACGGGTCCGTGTTGGCTGCATAGGGTAAATCGCACGAATAATAAACGACGATCCTCGAAGTCATCTAATTGATCGTCGTGATTTCGCTATTCCTGTCTCTCTCTCTCTCTCCCTCTCTCTCTCTCTCTCTATCTATCTCTTTCTCTCCCTCTCTCTCTCTCTCTATCTATTTCTCTCTCCCTCTCAATCTCTCTCTCTCTCTCTCTCTCTCTCTCTCTCTCTCTCTCTCTCTCTCTCTCTCTCTCTCTCCTATTTACTCGACCGTCAATGCCTGGCACACTTCAGTACGTCCTCGCTCGAGAAACACTAGTTGAATTAGCTTCACGAAACGTGCCTTCGATTGTAATTTCGATTATTGTTATGATCGTCACTTTGAAATTTTTCGAAGGAGAATCTAACGGGTCGTTCTTAACGTTTCAGACATATCATGCAACCATTCTCGACGGGCAACACGATGGCGACGGAGACACCGACCAGTCTGCCACCGGAGAAGGTGAGCTCGCCACCACCCTCTCGGAACTTGACCTTCTCCATAGCGAAGATTATGGAACCGGACAAACGTCTAACCGAGCAAGCGAACGTAGCTCAAACAGTCCAAGCAGCGGTCGTACCACCGCCATCGACAACGACGGCGACTCCTACGACGACTCCACCTGGTATACTTCATCAGGCATCGCATATTCCGGCGCTTACCCAGCGTTATTCAGCCCATCTAGAGTCGGCCTTCAAGAAGTACGTGCCAACGTTGAGGCATCAAAATCTTTATCCCCTCCTTTACTATCATCCGAGTCCATTGTTAAGGGCCTTTCCAAGTTCACCAGCGACAACTCAAAGCGTTCCACAAACCTCCCCACCACCCAGTTCTGTTCAAGACACTTCTATTTCCTCGAGGCTAAGCCTAATGACGATCTCACCGGAAAGTCAACGTGGAAAGAAAAGTCCGGCGCCGCGGAATGAGCTAAACGGTACGAACAAGCAAAAGACCTTTACATGTTCCGAGTGTGGCAAAGTCTTCAATGCACATTACAATCTTACCCGGCACATGCCCGTACACACAGGAGCTCGGCCATTCGTATGCAAGATATGTGGTAAAGGATTTCGTCAAGCGAGTACTCTTTGCAGGCACAAGATCATACACACTGCTGAAAAACCGCACAAGTGTCAGACATGCGGTAAAGCATTTAATAGGAGTTCCACGTTGAATACTCACACTCGTATACACGCTAATTACAAGCCGTTTATATGCGAGTTCTGTGGCAAAGGATTCCATCAGAAAGGAAATTACAAGAATCACAAGTTGACGCATAGTGACGAGAAGGCGTACAAATGTACTGTATGCAACAAGGCATTCCATCAGATCTACAATCTCACTTTTCACATGCATACGCATAATGATAAGAAACCTTTCTCATGTAAGATATGTGGCAAGGGCTTTTGCAGGAATTTCGATTTGAAAAAACACATGAGGAAACTTCACGACACTGGTTTACCCGTACTCGCTGGACTTGGTACTTCGAGTCAAAGTCATAATCAACAACCAGGATACGCGTCGATGCATCAGCCACCCGATGGACGTCCTTTCGTCAGTCCATTCCTTCTACCACCTCCAAATTCGACCAATTATCTCACTAAGATGTTGTGACATAGTGAGAACATTCCTTACCCGAGGAAAACTCAATGCCCATTGATGTTGGCTCCTCCTTGTTACGCCGGAGACATCGCTCAATTGGCCCAACCTTCAAAGTGAAAACGGATCAAACGACAGCCAATGTGTGACCATGACTGAAACGACAAATCTTAAAGCTCTCTTCGACGATATTTGATCGTTCAAAAAGAAAATAAAGAAAAGAAAAAAGAAACAAAAACAAATACGTTATCCCGTTTTCTCGAATTCATCGAAGATTTACGAAATGAAATATCATTGAAATCCCGATTACCGAAGGATGCCTATTGCTCTCGACATTTTTGTCAAAGGCGAATTATGTCCGCAACGTATCATACACACTCCGTTGAATCTACTCGAGTTCAGCAGTCCAATGGGAACATCTACACCTGTTTCGGCTAATACATCTATGTAATTCCCGCGAGAAAAAAAATCCAAAACGTTTATCGTTACTGACAGATTTCGATCGAGCGTTAGCCCTCGAAAATTGTCCTCTCGTTCTTGCTCGGTGAATAACGTTCCATGTATTGTTCATCTAACATTGTACATGATGATATCATCATTCGAATTTCTTCAAGATTAGAGAAACATTGCTAATCGAAAAAAAGAGATCAGTGTTGAGTACATAAACGATTAATCAAAGATGTATGGACTCTTTTACATACAACAGACAAAGATCGAGCACTACGAGCGTTCAAACTGATCTATCGAGCAAATCAATGGATGATTCGATCAGTACGCTTCTTATCAATGACTACACATACGTGTAAATACTTGTAAATATTTGTATGTGCAAATTAAATACATGGTATGGTATGCAATAGATGTACATGTGTATGTGAGTGATTGAGTGAGAAAGAAAGAAAGAGGAAGAGAAAGAGAGAGAGAAGAGAGAGAGAGAGAGAGAGAGAGAGAGAGAGAGAAAGAAACGTGAAAACGATTATAAGTATATAATTTGTAATTAATACGTAGACATCGTCGGTGAGACGATTTTAAAGAATCGTTCGAAACGATTAATTAATTCATATGGATCTCAAGAGAAGATTAAATAAAGTAAACAAAGTTTCAATGAACATATGGAACAACTTAAACCATTGATCGCATATAGATATTTATCATTTAGAGAACTGTATAAATTGGTGTGATAGTAGTTTTAAGTCGATCGTAGATAGCAAATGAAATGTTGGTCCTTTATTATATCGATCGTTGTAATCATTACGTAGAATTACGTCGCGATCGTTACGGCCACTGTGATTACACGATTACAACGGCTTTGCAATAGAATCAAGACGAGAGAGTATTATTATGATTACGACGAGATCATGTACCTAGTTCTCCTATTTATGCATTTTTATTTACGTCTTCTGATATTAATTACATATTCATACATACATACACCTAAAAGCAAAGAAACGTTCTATTCAAAATCAAATACGCATACTTCGTCTAATTCGTTTTCCTTCCTTATCTCTGTTTTCTATTAATTTGATCATCAATATTGCGTCGAATTTAGCAAAGAAGATCGCGAAAATGAATATATGTACGCGTTTATACCTTACGAATTAGATGAATATTGCAGATGTTGTCAACGAGATTTATTAAATATGATGATGATGATGAAGAAGAAGAAGAAGAAAGGAACAAAAAAGAAATCTAAAACCAAAAAAGAAATAATGTATGTAGATAATCGATAAAGTGTAGATGAAAATGCATATGTATGTGTTCCCTGTTGTAAATATGAATCTATCCAATGCAATAAATTTTAATGATATCGACACATGTCCCGAAAATTCACTTCCCGATAATCCCAGAGAACAAAATTCCAACGTTTCTCAGTTTGGCAATCGTTCGCGTAAAGTCAATAGATTCGATTATCAAATTCAAAGTAAATATCTACTAATTATCTCGTATGTACCTATGTATAATCGGGAATACGGAGTGGTTAAAATTTATATGCTAATGGAAACAAAGAAATCAGTCGATTATCCAATTTGCTGGAGCACCAATATAAAGTAATAATGGAATATTAATCGATATATCGATATATCGAACGGGTTATTTCGCGTCGGTCATACATAATATATCGATCAAGCCAAGAACGAAGAGGAAAACATAAAATCAGCTGAGAGGGATAACGAGTAATCTCTCGGGAGCATCATCAGGCTCGAGCTCGATTCTTTATCTTGCGATAGGCGAGAACGAAAGAACCCTTAAGCACATCGTCTATTACTCTACTCGAATCGATCTTTTCTTCGTAGGGTTGGAAATCGATGTATATAGGTAGGTATATAAATAGCTATGCCTAGTTTACATATATCTATCTATTTTATATATATATATATATATATATATATATATATATACATGTATATATAGTATGGATTATGTATGTATAAATGTATACATAGCGAAGACGAACAGTGGATAAAGCGAACGAGACATATCATCTACCATTAGACACGATGCGATCTCTCTGTGTGGCCGAACAAGCCAATGAGATGTATCATGAGAGAAAGAGGGAGGAAGAGAGAGAGAGAGAAAGAGAGAGGCCGATAGGACAAGAGGATGGTTGAAACATCGAGGGTCGGAGGAAAGAGAGGATGACGTGCTTCTCTCTTGATATTTGCGAGAGATATCGTACGGACCTTCTGATATATCTTCAGAATCTGTCCTCTATCCATTAAATCCGAGCTCATCCACTCCTATCCCTCGATGTGTCCCTTATCAAATGGGTGTCGCTTGTTACAGCGCACCCTCTAGAGAGCGTCGCTCGAGCTACTACGTGTCAATGAGAGAGATTTCTCTTTTCCAGAGGTCAGCACAACAACACAACGTTGCGATCTCTTCGAATCGATTCAAAATTTTTCATCGTTATCCAGACGATTGAATCTCATCGATTATCATATTATATCTATATATTAAATTTGATCCAATAGGGATTAAATTAGATATTATTAGAGCTTTGTTAACTTTGATTTTTGATATAAAGATAAAAATGATAAAAAAATAAAAGAAAAGAAAAAAGCAAGGAGGGAGAGAGAGAGAGAGAGAGAGAGAGAGAGAGAGAGAGAGAGAGAGAGAAAGGAAACTAAAAGATTTAATGAAATCGTGTTAAACGAATCATTGAAATACTATCGTTGTCCTCATGAAAAGAAAGAATTTTTACGAGCTATAATTCTTTCTAAAAGAATTTTACTAAGGTTGCTTGCCTCCTTTTCGAAACAGCAGGAAGTCCATCCTCGGCTTCGGAGGAAACGAAAGTGTAAAAGTTTTCCCTTGCTAGCAGCAGGGGTTGTGTACAAACAAGTATTTAGTCGACGTTTAATAGGAATTATCCTCGACGAACTGGGACAATTAGGGGTGGATTATTAACACCTGGAAACGGCGTCACGCTGCTTACCGAATTGACAAGGTTTGGTCGAATGACGAAGGTCCGAAAAGTTACGTGCAAAAATTTTTTTTTTCTTTTTGTTTCCCTTCTTTCGGTAACTCTCGTTGTGAACTCGCTCTAGCGCGATTCCGTTTTGTGAATTCGTTCGACGATGAAAGCAAACAGCTAAGTTTATGTTGGATGCGAAGAAACGTGAAATTCTTTGAAGCGCACCTTCTTTTCGATATCTCAAACGAAGGGAAAAATCTCGAAAGAGAATCGATTAATTTTCACACGTATAACTTGCTTCAATTTTTTGCGGAGAAAGTGCACCTATACTAAATTAACAAAAATGACAACTTTACAAGGATGAATCAAATTAACATTATAAATTATGCAAATTAAAAAAAACCAACAAATTATAAAATCCTGATTAACGATCGAATCGAATAGAAATGTAAATCTATACCTATGCGTATGTAAACTTGCTGAACCGAGAGAATAGTTTCAAAATCGTCGAGATTTCCGTTCAATTTACTAACGGGTGTAACATACACACATACATATATGTGGAGCCATATGGGGATAGTATAACGGAGAGAAAACAAATGAAATTCTTCTTCCTTTTCGACAAACAAAATCAAACAAAATACTCTCGAGAGGTATGTATCTATGTACATAAATTCTATACATTCGTACGTACAAAATCCCTGATATATCAATCATGTAACGTAATATCGATGTTATTGATTTTATCAACTTTCACAGATGTATAAAAATGTTGTTTACGTGACTAATAGATGTCACAAACAAAAACTTCATTTTAATATCAAATTATATATGTATGTAGATGTAATATCTCAATCACTACTAAGATAGATGGAATAATACATAATAATCACGAATGAATACTATCCCTAGAGAAAAGAGAAGAGAAATTTGCGACAAACGATTGGTTGCCAAGCGCGACAGAGGCAACACATCCCATAGTATGTTTTGTTCGAACGTGTCTCGATCCTCCCTCGTTCCCGAGGTTCCTGCCCGTTAATATCCTCGTAATTGGTTAAAACCCGTAACTGATGAGCGAACTGTAAGTTATTATGCGAGGAGACCCTTGCTTCTCGCGGCGACGAGGGTTTATGGGATACGGTTCAACACCTCTTCATTACCCTCTTCATCCCTCGATAGAATGCCGCTATCGAGGTGCTCACGCTAGCGTAATGGCATACCCGCCATTGTGTCCTACCATATTCCTCAATCCTCTCTCGTCGATCTGGTCGAACGTGATTTTTTCTTTTATTTTTTTTTTATCACGGCTTACATGGAATATAAAATAATTCTGTTTCTGTGAAACGATCCGCGAGTACAAAAGTTGCTATAGATTATCGTCATCTATCTTATTCTATTTATCTATCTTCATCATCTATCTATCTACATTGCTTATTAGAACAAAGATTACCGTTATATTAGAAACGAAAAAAGAAAAAAACGAAAAAAATGAATGCAAAATTCAATAAAATCTTTGAAATCTTGTCATTATTTAATAGAGATATAAGTATTTGCTTAAGAGACCGATTGGATAGGACATTTTTGAGAATCAGCGAAGAAGGGATCAGGTGTCAACTAAGGGACGTTTCTCCATCCGAAGATAGTCATTGTGTTCAGAACGATCGTTATGCACGGTTCGACGCCTTGGTAAAAGCCGGCTAGTATGGGGCAGAGACTGAATGATGATTCGGTTCGTTCGTTTCGAGTTATTTGGCTAAACGGAATACTCCTATGCGAGATGGTACGTTAACATATAATGTCAAAGGGAGAATAGAAAATTGTCGGTAAGTCGTCAGGAACGAAGCTACATGGATGTTTATTATAAATAAATATTTTTCTCGTTCGTTTTTCCTTTCTGCTTGTTTCCGAGGTACATATTTGGAACGTACGATGGTAACGATGATGATAGTCGGTGATTAAAAATATCCGACGAGGAAGAAGAAGAAAAAAAAGAAGAAGAAATTCAACGAGAGTTTTAACAAAATCTCGGAAAGTTTGCAATCTGAAAATAACGAGGAACGGGAATGCGATATTATAATTACGCTTTTTCCTCATTCGAGATAGAAGTACGAAGAACACGATAATCAAAGTTTATTGTGTTAGGATGAGGGAACAAATTGGATGACACAACATAGAGAAAGAGAGAAAAAGAA